GGAGATAGTCATAGTTTAGTTTTTTTACCTACTTTGTAATTCTTCTTTGTAATTTTTATTTAGTATACAATGTAAAACTTTAATAAACTTATGGCAGTACTGCATCGTTAAAATGCAAAAAAAAAAAACCCCCCATTCGATTTCTCGAAACTAGGCAGATCCAATGAGCTAATATTCATTGATTTTGAATCATCCAATCACGAGATACTCGCAATTGTATTATAGGCCGAAATTATAAATCAATAAATTCTACTTTAAATAAAGGAGTCTGGATTTTGAAATACAATCGCAAATATCTCGAGATAGAATAATCCAAAATCAATGAATGATAGCTCATTAGATTCGTCTAGTTGCGTGGAATCGAATGGTAGTTGTTTCATACGAATCGGTGCGATATTGACCGAGATCATACATCTTTTGTTTTTTGTTTTTTCTAAATATAAAAAATCATGTGATATGACGTAATTTCGACCATTTTGACTTTTCATTTCAACTTTTTGGGTTTTCATTTCGACTTCATGTATAGATGGAATATTTAGTGGATTTCGTGCAAGAAAGTCTACATTTTTTGTTAAACAACAATTTACAAATTATTTCCTTTCTTTCGATATAGACTTACCTCCGATGTGAAAGATTCAGCTCGGGTGTTATTCTAAAAAAATTTTTGTTTTTTTTTTTTTTTTTGATTTTTAACTTAAAAAATAAAATTATTAAAATAAAATTATTCCTTTCCTTTCATTATAAACTTCTCTTTGATATGTAATATCTCTTTTGGCTTGGGCTATGAAAGGTATGTTAGGAGAAGGGGTTTTTCATTTTTTTTTTTAGTCATTGGAATGTTATTAATGTTCCTTTTTCTTTTTTTTCAAAAAAAAAAAAGATTCTGGATCCTTGGATTGAAATGATAATTGAAAATTTTTTTTTTGTTTCTTTAGAACATTACATAGATCATTAATCATAAAACTTGACAATAAACAATAATCTGCTTGATTTGTTAATAGGTCATAAATGTGCTCATACACTTCAATTTCGTCAAGGGTCACGAAATTAATTTACATTTGAAAACTTGGTAAGTTATTGTAATTAAGAATTTCTAATATAAAGTGGAAACAAAATTGATGAAATTACATTTTTTTATAATGAAGTAAGTATTTGATTCATCTGTGAATTTATTTCCCTTTATAAATATAATAATAGATAATTATAACATTAACTTAACTAATGTGTCCAATTACTACCTCCACCACCGTCTAATACTTCCAGAATCCAGGCAGAAAGAGGAATCGCAATGGAAAAAAATCTTTAAAAGGAATTTGCCAGAAATTATTAATAACATATCCAAAATACAAAACCCGTCGAACATTTTTTTGCTAAATTTTAGGATAAAGGTCATACATTTTTATTTAATGCCAAGGTTTTAGATTGGTACTAGGCGGCTAGTATTTGTTGGACAGCAATAAAATAGCGAGGCTAATCGACTTTGTTTAATCTCAATAATTTTCTTATTGATCTCATTTGAGCCGGTTAATGTAATACTTTCAAGCACTTTTTGCTTGACAATCTTGATTTGAGAGAGAGCTTCATCTTCTTGAAACTAATTCAAGATAAATTCTTTAAAAACGTAGTCATAGTGAGGCAATTACAAGACAAGGTACACGATTTGCCAAACTTTAAAAAGATCCGAACCAGATTCGCATAAATGAAATGACTAAAATCTCCAGGAAACTTTCATGAGATTAATTTACTACGGCCTTTAAAACCACATTCTCAGCTACTGTCATAGTTACCAAAATGGTATCGCTTTCTAATAGTTTACAACTATTCAAAACTTCATTCAATGATTTCAATTATCTAGATTCGGAAAGTGTTTGGCTATAACGAATTGTTTTAATCTTGCAAAGGTCGGGATTTTTAATTTTTTCCATTATTTTTCAAGAATTTGGTTAGGTATTTAGGATCAGGATATTTAAGTTAAACTTTAAGATTTGGAATTATGGAAGTTCAAGATGTTGAAAAACCTTTTCAAAGTGTTTTCATAAATAATAATAAAATTTTGTTAGCTTGGAAATAATGGTAAACTAACTTCTGTCGATATGAAACTTGATTTTGATTAACATTGAAGCCTTGTTTACGATTAACTTTATTCAATCCACGTCAAAATATTTAACATGTTCCAGGTACCTTAAATATTTCTGTAAGAATATCAGCTCGGTCAATCCATTTGAGATGGATTTCTCAAGAGTTATCATTAACGATTCGATTGGAGGTTCGAGATGTATTCTGAAGAGATATATGATCTATATGTAAACGTTCAATGCGATTTGATTCTTGAGTATTTTAAATATTTCTCGTATGATTACCATGATTTTCTTTCTGTCAACCAATTTGGTAAAAAATAGTTGACGATTTCCAGGGAAATATTCAATTTGATGGTGGTGTGCTATTAACGATCATATGATTTACTATGTTTTGTACCTCAATTTTAATAGCATACCACCCATATCGTCAATATCATTAATCGAAAAACAGTTGAATAATTTTATGTATTAAAAAATGTATCCTATGTATGACGATTTCGTAAAGATCGCTTTGGACTCAGTTGGAAGATAATATTGTAATTTTTAATGGTTCTCCATAAATTCGTACATGAACGAAATTCTCATTTTCACTATTTTTAAAATTTCATTCAAACAGTACTAGGCATTTTTTATGATAAAAAAAATAACTTTTGAATTTATTGAGAAAAAGAATAGTTTAAACAAGAAATTCATTGAAATATTTTTATTTTATTTTTTGGGGTTAATATCCAACGTGTCACAGATTTTATATAAAGTTTATATTTTTATGCGCAATTCTTAACGTTTTGTAAATGAAGACAAAGGTAAACAGAAGGTTTATGTTTATAATTAATTTTTTATTTTATAATAATCTAATACAAAGTAAATAAGATATTGCTTCAATCGTTGGCGCTCTATACTATCAAATATGTTTATTAATTAAATTAAGGTTTCTATGATATTACAATAAATGATGCAAAGGGACGGTGAAATTATAACTAAATGCTATTTTTATTTATTTAGGAATGACGAACGCTACTTTAAAAAAAGAAATTTCTACCATTTATATCCGAAAATTATCAAGAACTTATTGTTCAGAAGACATTTTGGGCAGATGGCATATTGGCCACAAATCAAAATTTGCCAGAGGTCATTTTTGGCCGGGAAAAAAATTACGGTCAAACTACATGCTATTTTAATTTCTCGAAGACATTATTTTTCAAATAATAATTGTATAAATTGTAACAATGTCATCAAATTATTTATAGAAATCATGATGTAAACTAGATAACAACAAATAATTTGCGTATATATTTATAAATCATTTACCATAACGTCGGTAACGAAATTAAAATTAAATGATTTCTGCAGGGAAATTAATATATCACGCACGGTTTCTCGATAACTATATTAAATATCATGTTATATTTTAGATAGGAACGACTAATGGATATAATTGTCCGTGAGGCTATGTTCATGTATTGGGAAGAATTTTTTTTTATGTATTAATCTTAGGAGTTAAATATTTATTATTTTCTTGGGCCATATATTGGTAATTTTAAATTTTAACAAATAAATAATTTATTCCGGTATTCTTTGATTTTTTATAATTAATAATGACTATAATAAATCGGTTATCAGGCAAAAAATCATTATCAGGCATTAATAATTTTATTAAGCATTAATTGTATTAATAAAATTATATTTAAAACTAATTAATTATATATGGTACAATTTGTATAATAAGTTTTATTAATAATTATTTTTATTTGTTTCTTTTGACTTGTATTTAATTCGGAAGATGAAATTACTTGTAAATGCCTCTTATTTTTTTTTATTTAATAGTTGTGAAGCCTTATTAAAACCATTGGATGACTATACAATTTAAATTAATTGTCAATATAAAATATAATAATATTGATATAATAAAAATGTAAAAATACCTTGTCTTGTAATGCATCATCTTTATTAGTACCATCATGTTCTACAGTTCCAGTCAATCTTTGCATAACTGAATTAAGATCATTTCTTTTTTTTTTCCTTTGTTATTTTAAGATATAACGTATTCAAAAAAAAGTTTTAAAATAAAAAAATCATATATCTAGTTTCATATTATAATTAGTTCCCTACATTTACATTCGGATAATTACAAAGAAATATTGAAGAAACTCTGTTAAAACCAAGTCAAACTATAAAAAGATGTAACGGTAATATAATCTAAAATTTTAGTCAAATTTAAGTCATAAATATAATTTTTTTTCTATCAAGAAAAAAGGCCATTATACAATCCGCGAAATATTATCATCAAAAATCATAGAACATCTTTTTGATTATTCATTAGAATTTTCATCATTATCTGCAATTTCATATAATGTACTCTAAATCTGTATATGTTACTAAGCATACATATAAAGGTGTTATTAAAAGTATAGCATCGTAATATAACACTTTTCTAAAATATATAAACTATTGTAAATCGTATTTAAAAAGAGTTGCCGATTTAAAAAAAGAAAATAGAGAGTTGAAAATTAACCAAACCGCGGATTTTTTAGATTAATCGTTAAAAAAGGATAAAATAATGAGAATCAAAAAAATTAAATGACAGATTTATATTTAAATTTAAATAAATAGAGTTTGATTTGACCGGTGTCGGTGTTAACTTCGAAAATGTTCAAACGATTAACACTGCGGCTAAAGTCGTACTGCGGTAAATGTAGTGAATAGATACCGGTACATAGCATATGTAACATTTCGGAGTTTTAGTTAATCTCTTATTTTATTTGTTTATTTTATTTCTAGCATTTATATTGTTTATATTCTTTATATAATTTATTATTGCGAAAATGCGTTGGTTATTATTTACAGAAAAAAAAGGATAGATAGACTGACGGATTTCTAATATCTAATAAAAATACATATTACACTTTCAACCCTTCCTCTTGATAACCAACTACACAAATCGAATCGAAAACAAAGTTATTAAGTGGTATATTCCCAGGATAAAGGATTCTGAAATATCGTATTACATTGCACGTATCGTCGTTCGTTAGCTTGGTATCGGTACAATCCCAGGATTACATTTCCGAGGATACTATTTTTCCTTTAGCATGTTAATTTTCTTTCGGCTAATTATTTTGAATCTTTCAGGCCAAATGACGAATTAATATATATTTTAAAAAATTTTGTAAAAATTAATTTAATTTCTCGTGAAAAAAATATTATGTTGATTTCACATAAAATATTATTTTTCATCTCATAGCCATGCGATTTTATCTCTGCAAAGTAGAGTTTCAAAAATAATAGATCACGGTAAAAATTTAACTTGGTTTAATTAGAAGCTTAAAATCCTATTAATCGGGTAAAAACGCAGCTTATAAACTCTAAGTTAATGCAGTATAGATTTAAATAATATTTAGCGATAACATAGACCCAAATCATTTATTTATCTTCAGCTAAAAAAAAAAATAAATGGATCCATTATTTTTTTGAAGTAAAAGCGAGTTATCATAGAGATGCATTTCTATGACATTAAACTTTCGATTATTGATTGATATTTTGGTTCTAAATTTCCAAAGTTTTTTAATATTTGTACACGTGAAATTTGCTGACACCGACAGCTGAAACTTAATAGTTTCGCCTCCCAGCATGACTCGTAAGATTCAGTGACAGTAATTCACGTCTCTAAATAACAATTATAAACATTTCATATTTTATGAATATTCAAAATAACGGGAATAACAAGCAAGCAAGCAACTCAACTTTTTGTAAACAAATAGTTGTATTAATTTGTAATATTTTATCTTTTATTTTTGGTTTAAAGTTATCTTTGAAAAAGTGAAAATTATTATTTTGGTAACGCATAAAGATATTATTAAAAAACAAATTAAATTGCTTATTAATTAATGTTATTCGTTGAGTTTATGACGAAAAAATGTTTCAAATCAATTTTAAAGTTTAAAATAAATTGAGTAAAAACTCTGTATATCGAATAATTGTAAATATAGACTTTAACTAGTATTTAGCTGTAGTATTATCGTATTTCATTTCGTTTTCGCTTTTGATACCGTTTATACTAACAAATTTCAATTTCTAGAAAAATATAACGCCGAAATTATTTGTGCTAATATAATTTTTCATTTTATCCGATTAACTTTTTTGAAGTTGATGTCAATTTATAAATTTTTGAATTCTGACCTGCGGATGGAAATGTTCAATTGATATTTCCTATAATTTAGTTTGGTTAATATTTAAAAATTTAAATATATTTATAAATATGGCTAAATATTTGATAACAAATTTTCATAAAAATAATTATCTAAATTAATGTTTAGAATTTTAAATGTATTTTTATTATAAAAAAAAATATAAATTAAAAACAAAAGCATTGAATATTATTACAAAATCATATAAAAGATTAATAAAGTTTCAGTTTTAAATATTGGAAATTTGATTTTTTAAATATTCAGGTTTAATATTTATTAAGGAATGGGGTAAATTTGGTAAACTATTTATTTGCGTATTAAAACACCAGAGATTTGTTAAGGAATCGGGTAATGTTGGTAAGGTGGTAATTTGAGTATCATTACAATAGAGTTCTGTTAAGGAATCAGGTAATGTTGGTAAGCTAGTAATTTGAGTTTTAGAGCAGCGGAGTTCCGTTAAGGAGTTGGGTAATGATGGTAAGCTAGTAATTCGAGTTTTAAAGCAACGGAGATCCGTTAAGGAATTGGGTAATGTTGGTAAGCTAGTAATTTTAGTCCCATAGCAATAAAGTATCGTTAAGGAATCGGGTAATGTTGGTAAGGTGGTAATATGAGTACCATAACAATAGAGTTCTGTTAAGGAATCAGGTAATGTTGGTAAGCTAGTAATTTTAGTTTTATAGCAAGAAAGTATCGTTAAGGAATCGGGTAATATTGGTAAGCTAGTAATTTGAGTTTTATTACAATAGAGATTTATTAAGGAGTTGGGTAATGTTGGTAAGCTATTAATTTTAGTCTCATCGCAATCAAGTATCGTTAAGGAATCGGGTAATGTTGGTAAGCTGGTAATTTGAGTATCAGAGCAATAGAGTTTTGTTAAGGAATCGGGTAAATTTGGTATGCTGATTATTTGAGTATTAGAGCAACTGAGATACGTTAAGGAGTTTGGTAAAGTTGGTAGGGTGGTTATTTGAGTTTTAGAGCAGCGGAATTCCGCTAAGGAATCGGGTAATGTTGTTGGTAAACTAATAATTTGAGTATCATAACAATAGAGTTCTGTTAAGGAATCGGGTAATGTTGGTAAGCTAGTAATTTTAGTTTTATAGCAAGAAAGTATCGTTAAGGAATCGGGTAATGTCGGTAAACTAGTAATTTGAGTATTATTACAGTCGAGTCTTTGTAATTTTCGATATCTTTGTAATCCTCCTAAGGTGTTTAATATGTCATTCTTATTAAGTTCTGTTATTGTTAAACTAACAATCGTATCATCGTAATTAATGACTAATTCTTCTACTAAATTTATTTGATTAAAATTAAACATTTGACTATTTAATGAATTGTTAATACTAGAATAAGTAGGTTGTTCTGACAACTGGAGGTTTGATTTTTCATTGTTCATTTGATCATTTTCTATTATAGATTTTTTTTCAATAGTTTCATTTAATTCATCAACTACTTTGCTCATAGCTGGTCGATTATTTGGATCATTATCCCAACATTCTAAAATAATATAAATAATATTAATAATCAGAATATTATATTTAAATTAATAAAAGTATATTTACCAGTAAAAACCTTTACATAATCTTCGGGCGTACCAGGAATGATACTTTCTCTGAGTCCGTTCGAAATTTTCATAGCTAGAAAAATGTCGTATTCTTCAGAATAAAAAGGAGGATGACCGCTGGATATCTCCCATAAGAGAACTCCAACACTATAAACGTCACTTTTCACATTTAGAGAATCTTGTTGCAAATTACTTTCACTTCCCTCTCGTCCACCAAATCTTTTAGGGTCAATATAAGGAATTACACCCAAGACTTTTGACTGTTTAGTTGCCACATCGATTCTTTTCGATAATCCAAAATCGGCAAGTTTAATCATACCTTGACGAATTAATATATTGCCGGAATGCTATTATATATAAAATTATAGTACATTATTAGTAAATAACAGCAAATAATAAACAATATAAGATAAGTATAATGTAAAATTACCAAATCACGATGCACAATTCCTTCTTCATGTAAACACGACACAGCACTAGTCAACTGGAATGCAAATTTATATTTATCATTCCAAGTAAGATTATCAAAGTTAACTTTCAAATAGGTTTTAAGTACACCGCTATCGGCATATTCCATTACCAACCAATACCTTTTCAATTGATCATTTTTATTTCCTAAATTTTTAAAAATTATAAATGAGAGTTAATCAAGTTTATAAAAGATAAATGTATATTTATTCTATATGAACATTACATACTTTGTTTTGAAGATATCCCATGAAAACGAATAATATTATCATGAAAATCAACTTCATGTTGAAGTTCAATCTATATTATTACAAGTATAAATTTTAGCTTGATTATTTTATACTAAATAAACTGAAAAATAGAGACCGAAACACATTTTAATTACCTCACGAATTATTTCTTTAACGGTAGAATTGTTTAAGTTATGAAACGATTTTAACGCAAAAGGTTGTTTTAAACTTTTCCAATTTGCGTGATAGACTTTTCCAAAGCTACCAGAACCAATCTCTTGAATATTGCTAAAATGCTTGTATTCGTAGTATTTGATATTTTTGCTAGAAATATATTCTTCAATACGATTAATCCACTCATTTGAATTATTGGCTACTTGCATTTTGAATTTTAATTTTTTTTTTATAACGAAATGATAAAAACTCTAGGAGATAGCCAAAAAAAAAAAAAAAAAAAAAAAATGCACTGTCATGTCAATTCTAAGCCCCCCGGTCATTTGACCAGTGTAACATTTAAAAAATTTATTCCAGATGATTTAACCTTATTTGTTAATAATGGAATCAATGATTTTGATCAAATAGGGAGTTTTTAAATTTTCTGTTAATGATTTTCCTTCCCGATATTGTAAAATTATTTTCTTTTTAATTGAATTGCTTTAATTTTCTTATTTTTTTTTTTTGTGTTGTTATCATTATGATGATGTGTATCAATCGTCGTAAAAGAGAATACTTTACTTTAAAAAATAGATGTGGAAAAGAAACCTTAAAAAGAAAAGAAAGAAAAGAATTACTGTAAAACCAGAATTATACTAAAAATAGATAACATATCTGACGTGATCGAACTAAAAGGGGAAACTAAAAAGAAGATTGAGAATAAAAATGAGAGTCACTGCTGGAAAAAAAAAAATAATTAAAAATAAACTTCCAAAAAGATCGAACTCAAAGAAATAATTAGAAAAAAGTGAAATATAACATCATTGCGGGCCAGAAGCGATCGAATACTCAAAAAGAAATAATAAAAAATTTTAAAAAAAGAAAGAACAATCCAAAAGAGAAATTGAACAATAAACAAAAAAAAATTTGCATTACTGCGGCAAGAAGTGAATAATACAAAAAAAAAGAAGAAAAAGTGCTTTTTTATTTTATCTATCATTTAATTGATGCAAAATTCAATGCTAAATATTCATATTTTTTATTTTTTCTAAATCATTTCAACATTAAACTATTAAAGATTTAATTAGAAAAAGAAAATGTTGCACATAAATTTTTCTTACACATTATTATCGCACACTGGTGTAACGTAAAGAACCAATCAGAATCTGCAAGCGTGGAAATTTCTGTGTCACCGTGTGTATCCATATAATTATATTTTTAAAAGTTGTCATTTTTTATAATATCCATATTAATTGGATAAATGTTTTTCAATTAAAATAAACAGAATTTGGTATAATCCTAAATCATGATTTAGAAAGAAATCATTTATTTTTAGCTTTCAACCATAACCAAAATAATGAACAATTTCATATAAACGTACAATATCCTTTTGTAATTTATTTAATACAATAGTAATAATAAATTTTATAATTCATAACAATGAATGTTGGCCAAAATATAGTTTAATTTCTGCTGAATATTGTCAAAAAATCAGTATTTTGATTATATTCATAAAGAATATTGAAGAATAATTGTAAACTTCCAGTAACTGGTATACTGTATAGTAGACATTTTAAAGTTTTTATATTGCAAGAATCAAAATATTTTTTTATGAAAAGTAATGATTGTTCCAACCGAATAATTCTTCTTTCAATGGACGTAACTTTTGAATATGATATTTGGATAATTAGGACTCTGTCATATTTTTAGATTCGGGTAAATCCTTTTACGCAATAGGGCATCGGTAAAAAAATGAATTCAAATTGGAAGGTCTATTGTTTGAAATATCATTTCTACTGTTAAATGTGAACTCAAAAGTTTATTGTTAATTTGATAAATGATAGAATCTCAAACTATAATGACTCATATAATGAATAAATACATATATTTTGTAACTAGTTTTAAAAGATAATTTTAAAAAAAAATAGTTGAAATTTACTGAATTATCATGGAAAATTCTGTTTGCAATTTAGTCCATTGTCGTCACAACATGAACAGGTGCATGTTTGGGTATTTTGATTAAAGATGCACACCTCAGTATCTACCAAATATTTAAAACTTTGCGTAAATTATAGTTCATAAGAATACTTTTTTTAAGAATAGAACAACAAATACCTTCGCAAAATGGTGCTGGATCAGGACATCCCTTCGCGTTGACAGATGTCATCAAAGCGCAAAAAAATGTAATCATCATTAAAAGAGCAAGTAATTTTGAATACATTTTTATTAAGTTCCAAGTTTATTTTTGATTATATTTCTTTGCTTGAATTTTTTTATTTTTGATTTGAATTTCTTACGAAAAAAATTTTTTGATAGTTTTTGACGCGTCCTTTGCGTCCTTTTATATTTAACAAATCGATTGATCGGCACATATTACATAATTAAGAATTTTTGTCTTTATCTTATTAATTGTATCAAAAATGGATGTCCCTGGTGTTTAATAAATAAATTACTGACAGCTGTTCTCGGGACAATTGCCAATTTTTGATGATGTATATAATCATTTACCGTAAATTTTTTCACTATATTTGATTGTCCATCACATCAAATAATTGCCGGTCGTCTAGTATAAGATTCGATTCGTATAACAAAAGTACGAGTTGAAATTTTGTTGCTTTAATACAAATTAAGTACTTTAACCCGTTGTAATAGAAAAGAAGGGAACAATCGGAAAAGTTTCAGCCTGAAACATTCATTTTAATTTTTGTTCCACCAATCATCCATTGCCAATTAGTCGATTATTCGAATATTAATTTCGAAGATCGCCATATCTTTGAGATCATAACAGGGCAGGGGAGGAGGAAAACCGGTCCTATATATAAATGCTTACTATTATAGGACCAGTACGGTACGTACGGTACGGTACTTTATCTAAATATACCGTACTGGTTTCAATAATATTATAGAACCAGTACGGTACGATCATAATTTGGAGGATCGTACCGATCTGCAAAACCGTACTGATCAGCCGAACCGTACCGTACCGGTTTTCCTCCCTGATTAATTCCTATAATCTGCAAAATTTATCTAATGACAATTATTTTATAATGATATTTTCATCATAAAAAAATAATCGTAATGTAACTATCAAAATTATTTTCAGTGATTACGCCTTTTTAAAAGCCAAATACTACGAAATTTAAATTTGATGTTATAATTTTATATAAATTGTCTATAAAAAATTTTTGCATTCAACAAGAAAGAATTTATCTATTATTAAATTATACGAAGCTAATTGAACTACGTTATCTGATAAAATGAAGAAAAAAAATTGCTAAAATGAGCAAGTAAATAATAAACCTGACTTAAAAACAAAAAAAAACAAAATTTCAAGCATCAAAATTAGAATAACTAGTTATGTTAAATAAAAAAGTTAATTTATATTTGGAAATAATATTAGGTAATATAAATATACCGAAATAAATGTATACTTTACACAATTTATTTGTAAAAAAAATCTTTAAATAAATAATTATAATAAAAAAAAAATTTGTTCATGATACGATGCACCATATTTAGGAGATTTGTATTGTTTTTTGTTATACCAGTTGTCTATACTTTATAAACTTCAATTAATTATGATAATTAGTCCGGAGTGATAGCGAAGGACTATATATGTCTACACCTATGAGATAAACAAATGTCACGATGTCCACCCGCCCGCAGCATGAGTCAATGATGATTGGTTTTTTCCGTACCTAATCAAGTAATTTCCGTGCTCTATTTGTTCCGCTACTTCCTAATGTGTAAATTTTCCTGTATTTTTTTTATATACGTGTATAACAACCAAAAATTAACAATAAATAAAAAAATAAATATATAATAAATATTTCTTTCGATTATCTAGGTAAAAATGGCAAGGTAAAATTACGTATTGCGTAGAATTATATTAATTACGCGTGATATATTTTCGCGGTGTTACGTATATATATTGCGTAATTTGAGCACGTGATCTTCGCTCCGGACTTAACAACGGTGCACCGTTTCCCTAGTGTTAATGGATAATACATTTATTTTTTCGTGACTTAACGACAGCCGTATTAAATTATAATTAAACTAATTTGATTTGACAAATCGATAAGAAAGTAAAAGTCTGCAACATTTTGTCGTTAATCATTTGAAATATTAAAAATTAACGCTAATTTTATATCATTTATAATCATAAAAAGACAGCATTTTTAGTTTTTCTGTAAGTCTTTTTAATACAAAAGTTATTTTGAACATATTATTTAACTTCCCAACCAAATACGAGATCTTTGATTCAAATTATTATATAATATATGAATTCTATTTGGTTAAATTTTTGTGTCCTATTATCTTATTAATAAACTAATCAATGCGGAAAAAAAATCAAATTTCATGCATCTAACATTAATCATAAAATCTAAAATTAGATTTTAGAAATGATCGACATATGGGAGCTTGTCAATAGAAGAGGAAATCTATAAAAAAATTAAAATTTTATTTCATATGCTAAATATGATTTTTTTAGTAAAACAAGTCTAGATTTAACTTTAACTCATAAAAATTTTTTTTAGATTTCCTCCCTTTCTATTGACAAGCTCCCATATAATACTAAGAATTTTATCAGTATATTAAAATTTTTGTTTTTAACTTTTAGATAAATTTTTTTTAATGGAAAATAATTTAATAGCAAAAATTTCAAAGTGGTACAAAATTTTTAGTAGTGTCTTATTAATGAATTCAACTCAAAATTTAATTAGATAGTAATGTTTACTGTGATATAATATTTTTTTGATCACTATTTACTCAAAATTAAATTTCTTATCATATAAGGTGATTTTAATAGCTTATTTATTAATGAAGTTAGAATTAACTAAATTAATAAATATCATTAATATTAATATGATATTACTTAAATACAATTTGTAATTATAATTATTTTGAATAATAAAACTTTGATAATATATTACTATTTGATTCATAATGCTAAAATGATATAAAATATAATAATAAAAGTATATTTAACTTAAATTTAGAAAATTTTTCTGGACAAATTTTAATTAATATTTAGTTGTAATAATTGATTTCATAAAAAATAGTTGTTATTTAGTATTTTATAAGTAAAAGTATTACAAAAAGTATGAATGAATTTTATGTAGATTTTGAATATATTTAAATTTGTAAGTTTTAAGTATATAATATTTTTACAATTATTAATTTATAAATATAAATGTTGTTTGAACAATCAAGCCTAAAAATTAGCACTATAATTTTAATTATTTAATTAGTATATAAAATCATATTTTAAATAATTCGTTTTCTTAATTATTTTAAACATTTTTATTCAATTTTAAAATTATTTTATCATTTAATTGAAAAAAATATATTAAATATAAATAATATTAATAACAATTATTTTAGATGAAATAAGTAATCTTATTATTTAATATATATAAAAAAAATTAATAAATTCATTTTTTTTTAATTATAAAAATTATAAATTTTTTTCTTTTTTTTTTTAATATTACAATTAAATTATTATTATATTTAGTCTTAAATACAAAAAATTAAATTTAAATCAGTTTTTATAAAATCATTTACAAAAATTTCATAAATAATATTTTGTAACTACTTCATCTCAAATGTACACTTATATGTTACTTTTCATGAGTTAAAGAATAACTTTTACTATGGTAACTCAACTGTGATTCCTATTTTTCTTCTATGTGTTTTTTTTGATTTTCTGTGATTCCTTGAAAAAAGTTGTGATTCAAAGTTTTAAGTTGAATATATATTGGTTTTTTTAATAAAACTTCTTGTAAATAACATATATTATAAATTAAGTATATATTCTATTTTAGATTTAGATTAATTGATTTAATCAACTTTTGTGTAACAGTGATTGTTGAATCATTACAAAAATTTTCCTTCAAAAAAAATTTAAATTTTACAAAAGAATATAATCTTATTGTAGGGCAATTTAACATTCTTTTTTTATTAATCAATGGATTTTTTTAATTTTATTTTAAAAATTATTATTTATTACTCTTTCGGCTTGGATCATTTTAGAAGAAGTAGCATGTGTTTTTTTTTAATAGGTTTTAATTTATTTCTACTTTTATTTCTCTTCCCTTTTGATTTATGGTTATTATTTTAATTCTTCATTTAAGTTGCTTCATTTGTAAGGGAATTGTAATTTTTTTTATTTCTTTTGATCATTTTGTTAATTATTTTTTAGGTTCATCGAGCAACAATATATTTTTCCCTAAGGATTATTTTGTTCTTTTACTCTTCACATTTGGGTTGTGAGTTTTTTCACGATGTTTTATTTTGTTTTCCTTGATATATTAAAAGCTTTCTAATGTGCGGATAATTTCATAGGCATCCCTATTTTATTATATTCGGAATATTGCGTCACTAAAAATATTTTTTTTTTATAGATCGATTAATTGATTTTGATAGAATCGATTCAAAAAAAGATTTCAGATAGTAATAGTCTTTAAGTTTATATGCTCCTTCAAAAAAGCAATTTGTACTTCGCAAAAGTTTTTAAAAGTTTATAAATAAATTTTTTTCTATAGAAATACTAACATTTTTTCCAAAGATAATTAAAAAAGTTAATTTCAAATTTCATTTAATATATATGTTAATGATTTGGAATGTGATATGGAATGTGATAGTAAGCCTGCAGTTAATTAATTAATATAATACATAGTTGATTATCAGTAGTTCTAGGGAACGGGGTAAACCACCGTTATTAAGTCGGAGCTATACGAGATTAATGTAATACAACAATAAAATATGTAATATAAAAAGAAAAAAAAGGAAAGGGCAGGGGTAAAAATATAAAATGACGTAAGTGGAAGTAAGGAAGGAAAATGCAGGGGATAACGCAAAATTGTGTATGACCTTGTCTTCGCTTCGCTCCGGACAATAACTGATTTTTTCGCTAGAATAGGCTTCGTATCCAACATTTGTAGCGAATTTCAATGAATCAAATATATCGGAACCTTAATTAAATATACTTAGTGTTCAAATAAAAAAAAAAAAAATGTTCGTCCTCTATGATTATAACCTTCTAACCTTATGCCAAATGGTATATATCTAATACTTCTACCATGAGTCAGCAATCAAATATCGTACTTATACTTTTATTCTGATAAAAATTTCATTATGTATTTATATTTATAGTTCTTTTTTTTTATTAAATTTAGTCATAAATTTATTTATTTTATATTTAAGACTTTCGTTTATTCTTTGAATACTCAGGTAAGATAAGATTTGTGGGGTTTATTTCAGGATGGTGTGTTGTTTTCTTAAAATGTTATTTTTCCTTATTATTTTATTATTACGAACTTTCTCTTTGATAAGGAAAGCCATTTTTAGAAGTTCATTTGTGTTTTACAGAGAAATTTATTTTTGTTTTCATTACTTATAGAATCCTGTCATTCTTCCTGATAAATATCGTTTATAGGTTGCAGTATCGTACTTTTTATTTTTTAAATTTTTTTAACATAATGTTACTTTCGCAATTTTTCTCGATATTCCTTTCTATCTCTGTCTTCAGAACTAATATAAAATATAAAATATCAAAAATAATATAAACACTAATACGATTTAATTGCATTTTAAATATGATTAGTTATATTACCAGTAGCATAAGCTTAAATTATCTTCACTTTTTAATTATGTTTATTTTTTCAATAGTAATATTTCTTCAATTTAAAGAAATTTTAAAGACAATTTAATTAATTTTAAAAATAAAAAATATAATAACTGATCTTAAACAGTAACATTTTGTTATCAACTAATTATTTTAAATGGAGTGTGTAAATTTATAAATTATACTATCATGATATATCGGAATATGGTGTGGCTCAACGATCTTTTCTTTGTTTCAATTTTAAACTTTCTGTAAAAGATGTCTTTGTAACGTTTCAGAATGATTATGAAAGGTTATTAGAAAATGACAAAAATATGGTCATTATATATGCTGATGAAATAAGAAATACATCTCTTTCAAAATATTTTATGTTTCAAGTCGCAATATTTTTATGATGAACCAACTAAAGAAAATGTTGATATGAGGATGAGAAAGTATTTAAAAATAACCCATTATCCAAACAATTTAAAGATAATTTTAAGGTAATAAAGTAATACAAATTCGTCAAGTTACTAATATATTGCGGAAGGATTGACGTGACGAAATTAAACTTAAACGTGACAGGTGCACTTAATCTCCAATCAATAGTTTCCGAAATTGAATGAAAGATCATCGTGAGTTTTTACAATACAAAACAATCTTGTAGGAATTGTTGAAACAATTTATCAACATGAAACCTTCACAAAATTACATGATATTTGTTTATAAATCTTTATTATTCCGATAAATTTATTAATTGAAAAGTTATATATTAGAATTCCTTTAAAAAAGGGATAATTTTAAGTTTAAATGAAATTGATATTTGGAATAGTTTAATGAAGTGGGTCAACAATCGGCATTTTGCTATATTTTCCGGTTGAATTGATAAAAAAAATAATGACAAGGAGACGCCTTATGAATTTAAATTACTTTATCGTGCCAGCTGAGATGATAATAGACTTGCAGCAAATATATAATAACAAGGGTCCAATATATTGGAAATAAAAACCAACGAAACGGAACAAATAGTGGGAGGACATATTTCATTTGGGTGGGAAGGAAATTAAGGAAATGGTCAATGGAAATCTATCAAAGACAGTTAATATTCTCATTCGTAAATAAAACAATCCTTCAATCTTATATTAAGCGCAAAGAGCTATGTATTGTGATCCAAATCATGGTACATATTTTGATTACTTTCGTGATATTTTTTATTTTATTACTTGGAATTCCGACAACGCATTTGTTTATTATCAAATTGATATTCCAAATGGTGAGTTTCAAATAGATGATTATGAGGTTTTCAAGTTAATAAATGATAAATACATTACTAAATTTAAATACATTTATTATTTCTATTATTTAAATAAAAACAAAAGTATGATTACTTGTTTTTTAAAAAAAGTCCAAGTCATCTTTTTCACAATTTACCAATTTCGCAATTGTACTGTGTCGAGACGAGAAATAGTAAATCATCATAACATGATTTTAAATTATAGATGAAGTTCGAAATTAACCATGTATAATGTTGGTAAATATTAATCCGTCCGTTAAACCATCAAATATGGAACTGATGATAAAAAGATAAAAAATTCTGTAAAAATTTTTTTTAAAAGTTAACGGTATTTTCTTGAAGTACAGTCAGTCTTGTCAGTCTTGTAGTACTTTGAATTGCATTTAATCTAGAATATCCAAATCTGAAATGCAATAAAAATAATAAAAATAAAATTTTGTTAAAAATTTATATTATAACCTGATTTTCTTAGATATTTACTAATCAACTATTTAAGTTACACAATTAACTTTTATTATTTTCTAGAATTTTTCCAAATTACGTTTTTTAGCCGGATAAATGTTTATTCCCAATGTTTAACATAGGGGTTTCCGTAAGAAATTTTCATGCTCTTAATCAAAAAAAAATATTTGCGATACAAATAAAAACGCATTGAAAATACAATATAATTAAGATAATTTTTTTTTGAAATACTTTGTCCATAAAAATGTATGCATTAATTACATTTATCATTATTTTTGCTCTTATCGCTTATTTCATTTATGTTAGAAATAAAATACCAAAAGGACTTGAAGGCATACCATTTATTTCTATGTTGCCTACAATATTGGCGTTATTACAACAAAAGCATCATGATGAAATTCAAGATACAATTGCAGAGTCTTCAAGAGGTTATGATCTTTATTTGGTTTGTTAAATTACATACGTATTATTCTGATTTTATTTATTATTGAATGATTGATTTAAAAAAATTTATTCCTTAGAGTCGCTTTATAAATCGAACAGCCCTAACCATCAATAATCCTTTGTACCTTAAAAATTTCTTTACAAAAATAGGTAAGCGTTTTAATGCATAAAAAAAATAATAATAATGCAATATTCAATTCCCAATTTCAATTCTAACCATTTAGAGAATGATGATCCTCCAAAACTTAATATGGATTACAGAAAAATCGTAGGAGAATTTTTCGGAGATGGTTTAATATTTTCGAATGGTGACGTACGTATATGTATATAATTATGTTTATTAAAATCAAATAATTTTATTTTAATAAACGATATTTACAATTATTTGATTATAGAAATGGAGAACTTTTAGAAAATTAGCCAATCCAGCTTTCAATAAAGCCTTGTCCCCAGATATAGTTGGGAAAATTACGTTTGAACTTTTTAATTTCATGCAACAAGATTTAAGTAGACCGATTGATATATTCGAAACCAT